TGCAGAAGAATAAAACTAGACCCCCATCTGATGCCATACACAAAAATGAAATCAAATGAATTAAACACTTAAACCAAAGACCTCAGACTATGAAACTGCCATAAGAAAATATTAGGTAAACTCTCTAGTACGTGGGTCTGAGCAAAAATTTCTTGCATAATACCCCACAAGCCCAGGCAACCAACCAAAAATGGACAAACAGCATCACATCGAGTTAATAAGCTTCTAAACAGCAAAGGAAACAACCAACAATGTGAATAGAAAATCCATGAAATGAGAGCAAATATTTGCAAATTTCCCATCTAACAAAGTATTAATAACCAGAATATATAATGAGCTCAAACAATTCTACATGGAAAAATCTAATAATCCCATTAAAAATGGGCAAAATATTTGAATATATATTTCTCAAAAGAAGACATGCAAATTTCAAACAAGCATATGAAAAGACATTCAACATCATTGATCATCAGAGAAATGTAAATCAAAACTACAATGAGGTATCATCTCACCCCAGGTAAAATGGCTTTTATCCAAAAGACACTCAATAACAAATGCTGGTGGGGATGTAGAGGAAAGGAAACCATCACACACTGATTGGTAGGAATGTAAATTATTAGTACAACCACTATGGAGAACAGTTTGAAAGTTCCTCAAAAACTAAAATAAAGCCACCATGTGATTCAGCAATTCCGCTATGGGGTATATATCCCCAAAAGAAAGAAAATCAGTTTTTGGAAGCTATATGTGCACTCCCATGTTTGTTGCAAGACTGTATATATTAATAATAGCCATGATTTGGATGCAACCTAAGTGTCCATCAACAGATGGACGGTTAAAGAAAATTTGGTACACGTATACAATAGAACAGTGTTTTGCCATAAAAAAGAGATCCTGTCACTTGCAACAACATAAATGGAACTGGAAGTCAGTATGTTAAGTGAAATAAACCAGGCACAGAAAGACAACATCACATGTTCTCACTTATTGGTGGGATCTAAAATCAAAACAATTGAACTCATGGAGATAGAGAGTAGAAGAATGGCTACCAGAGACCGGGAAGGATAATAGGGGTGTGGGCTGAATGTCGGGGATGGTTAATGGGTACAAAGTTAATAGAAAGAATGAATAAGACCTAGTATTTGATAGGATGACAGAGTGACTATACTTAATAATAATTTAATTGTACATTTTAAAGTAACTAAAAGAGTATAATTGGATTGTTTGTAACATAAAGGATAAATGCTTGAGGGGACGGAGAACCCTAATTCCATGACATGATTATTACACATTGAATGCCTGTATCAAAACATCTCATATACCCCATCAATATATACACCAATTATGTACCTACACAAATTAAAAATTAAAAAAAAATTTTTTTAATAGTCCAGGCAAAGGTTAGCTGGGTTCTTGCTCAGGATAGTACCAGGCTGAAAGCAGGGTGGCAACTAAGTTTGTAACCTAGATAGGGCTCAGGGTATTCGTCCAAGATCATTGAAGTTGTTGTTATAATTTAATTCCTTGTAGTTTAATTACTGAAGGGTCGTTTCTTGCTGGCTGTTGGCATGGGGTCTTTCTCAGCTTCTAGAGGCTGCCCTCAGGCCCTTGCTACAGGGCCCCTTCCTCTGACAACAGGATATCTTCCTCAGGCCAGGAGGAAACTCTCTTTTAAGGGTTCAGCTGGTTAAGTTAGGCCTGCCCAGGATAGTTCCTGCTTTTGATTAACTCAAATTCAATTGACAGGGACTTTGATTACCTAACTAAAATCCCTTTGCTTTTTTCACGGAGCAACCTAATCACAAGAGTGATTAGGTTGACATCAACATATTAGGTGATCATCAACATATTCATAGATTCTGCCCACACAGAAGAGAAGGAGATTGTACAAGGCATGTACACCAGGAGGCAGGAATTTGGGGAACATCTTGGAACTCTGCCACCACATCCTGAACATCACACACTGTTTCCACTCTTGTCACCTTTAATCCTGAGAATGCATCCAGGAGCCAATCTGTTTTATGTCAATTACTAATTAGTCATGTCACATTACTAACTTACTATGTTCCAATTAGTCCTTATTGCATTTGTAATAAAATCCAAATCCTTTTGGACTGGCTACAAAGTTACGTATGATCTGATCCCTACTGGCGACTTCTTTCATGTCACACTCAACTCACTACCCACAGCCACAGTGGCCCCCTCTCTCTCCACAAGTGTGACAAACTCATTTTTAACTCAAGGGCTTTGTACTTGCCATTTCCCCTGTCTGGAGTGTTGTTTCCTGGTTATTCACATGACTGGCTCCTTCTTGCTATTTAGATTTCATCTAAAATGTTACCTTCTCTTATGACATTATATAAAATTTCCTTTTCCCCTAATAACTTTTTATTGCATTATTCCGTTTTATTTCCTATTTTTGTTATATGTTTATCTGTTTATTGACTGTGTGCTCCACTTCAACATAAACTTTATGAGAGCCTGGACCAGGTCAATCTCATTCACCACTGTGTCCCCAGTAGCTTGGAGAGCACCTGGCATTTGGTAGACAGCAAACAGTGTTGGGTAGAAGAAAAGGATTTCATGAGGATTACATCTCTTAGCATAGTTCATGATACAAGAAATCTGTATTTGTTTTAGACATATGTTTGAAGTCTCTTCACTTGCAGGATATGAGAAAAGGAACATCCCAGCAAAAGAAAACCCTTAGAGTATGCCATATATTTCTTTATTTGTTCAAAATATTCACTCTAGGTATAAGGGTAAAGGTTATGATTACAGAGGCATAGTCCCATGTGGTTGTTTATATATTTCCGTACTATTAAATGAAATGAAGTTTAGCTTTTTCAGGCTTTCATTTTTCTAAAGAAACTATTCCTCCAGGCAAAAATTCTGAAAAGCCCATCTTCAGTCAAATACATTTTGCAGAATTTTCTCCAGTGGTTGGGGAGAGTTCGGCAGACTGTTTTCAAGATATAAGCCACAGATGATGAAAAGTGAAATTAGGCTGGAGGACATGGGTCTAAACCTAATCCAAGCAGCATTTCTAGGTTTCGTTAAGTTGTACAGAATAACGTAGGTCATCCTGTAATTCAATTCTAATGTTAATGGGAAATCAGCTGTTTTCTCTTTACTTTATTTTCCAACTGGAGACAACATTTTTCAAAAAGGAGCAGTTTTCAATAGAGCCTCATAGATGTGATAAAGCATTTTCCATTCATCACATTCTGCAAATTTTCTAACATCTTTAATTATCAGTTGTCATTTTCTAATTGCATAAATATGTAAGCTAATCTTTGGATCTTTCCAAGGTAGATAAAAATTATCCTCAAGTTGCTAAAGATAATATCAGGGCCTAGGGAGATTAGTAACTTTTCATAAGCTCAAAAAAAATTATAGAAAACCTTAGAAATGTAGAGTTTTGATGACCCCTTATCATTAGGAGCCATCTTAAAATAGAAAAAGAAATACTCTAAAGTACATAAATTCATGCATAGATATGGCATGATTGTTTCTTGGCCTTTTGGCCAAGATCAAGTGTATAGATATGGCATGAAATATTTTATTAGTTATATTTTTTAAATGACAAAGTATGAAGTATGATTTAAATAGAGCAAAAATTGCAAATCTCTGTCTATCTACCTATAATCTATCTATCTATCTATCTATCTATCTATCTATCATCTATCTATCATCTATCTATATAAAATAAACCTATATAGACCCCAGGCTGGAGTCCAGTGGCATGATTTTGGCTCACTGCAACCTCTGCCTCCCAGATTCAAGCGATTCTCCTGCCTCAGCCTCCTGAGTAGCTGGGACTACAGGTGTGTGCCACCACACCCAGCTAATTTTTTGTATTTTTAGTAGAGTCTGGGTTTTGCCATGTTGACCAGGATGATCTTGATCTCCTGACCTCATGATCTGCCCACCTTGGCCTCCCAAAGTGCTGGGATTACAAGCTTGAGCCACTGCGCCCAGCTGCAAATCTATATTTCTATAAAGTTCTACATATTTTACAACTTCAAAAATACTAAAATATGTTAACAATGTTTTTATTATTTCTGTATATCTTCTTTGTTTTTCAGATTTCCAAATTTATTCTTGTGTTACTGCTTTTAGAAAAAAAGTAAAGACAACTGTTTTTCAAATCTCCCATTGTTTCTCCGTAGTTATAAAGTGGATGACTATATGAGAATTTATTTGGTATTTAGACTACATTTTAGAACAATGAATGTGAGGCTACCAAAGAAACTGTGCTAGTGTCTGACCTTTTGTTGTTGTTATTATGTGAGTTTAAATGTTGAAAATCACTAGGTAAGATAAAAAGAAAAGTTGTTGATTTCTCTAGAACTTTTATTTCTATCTGGCTCAGAGTTATTCTATTTGACTGTGCCCCAAAGCACCACCTGGTTCTAGGAAGAAAGAGCTACCATCTACCTGGCTAGATGGTTACTGTCCTTTGGGGTAGAAGAAACTGAGGGGAAAACAGCCATGGGAGATGAGATGGGCTGGATCAGAGTCCTTTCTTAGAGCCAAGAATTCCAGCCACCAGGGTGAAATGGGAACAGACATTCAGTCCCACTAATTTTCACTCATTCCCAATTCTGTTTGCTTTCCTTGTTCATATACTGATGTTTTGAGTAGTGACAACAAAATGCACACACCTCATCAACATCAATTTCTTGTGCATTTAATGAGTACCAAGTGCTGTGCTGTTTTTTTTTTTTTTCACAAGTACTTCCTTAAAGATTAACATAGAGAACAAAAATCAAAACATATCCACTCTTGCTTTTATGGGATGCAGCGATAATTACGCAGTTACAGAATCAAGACAGGAGACAAGGGGTAAAAGTATCCTCCTTAATGATGAGTATATTCCAGGACTTCCTTCTTGGACAACAACACAGGAAAGAGGTGGACTGCTGCCTCTCTGTGACTGTCACAAAGCATTCCACCTGACTCTCCTTCCCTGAATATGTCTCCATATTTTCACACAGACGCTACCCTGATTGTCGTTGCCTCAACTTTGGATCATGGTTTATGTTTTCCTTCCCAGCTGCTCTTACCATTCTACTCTTATCCTGGATCTGGCTTCAGTGGCTTTTCCTAGGATTCAAGTAAGTAAATATTTTATGATCATAGCATAAATAAAGGTATCTAGGTTCCCAGTTCTTAGCTCCTTATCCAGTGCTCCTTCTCCTATGCCATGCAGGCTACCGTTCTGCATTTTTGTTACTTACAAAATTAATACACACAAATTTAAGGATAAACTTGAATCTCATTTAAACAATATTGGCTGTGGAAGAGTTAATTAAAGATTAGAAAGAGGCCATATACAGTGGCTCATGCCTGTCATCACAGCACTTTGAAAGTGAGAGGTGGGAGGATTGCTTGAGCAATTCTCTCCAGCCTGGACAACATGGCCAAACTCTGTCTCTACCAAAAAACAACAACAGCAACAACAAAATAAAACAAAAACAACAAAACAAAAACCTCCCCCCAAAAGGACCATCCAGGCATGGTGGTGTGCACCTCTGGTCTCAGCTACTGAAGGGGCTGAGGTGGAAGGATTGCTTGAGCCTGCGGGACAGAGGCTGCAGTGAGCTGAGATCACACCACTGCATTACAGCCTGGGTGACAGAGTGAGAGCTGTCTCAAAAAATAAAATAAATAAAAATAAAGATTAGGGCTGGGTGTGGTGGCTCACGCCTGCAATCCCAGCACTTTGGGAGGCCAAGGTGGGGGAATCACAAGGTCAGGAGATCGAGATCATCCTGGCCAACATGGTGAAACCCCATCTCTACTACAAAAACAAATACAAAAATTAGCCGGGTGCAGTAGCAGATGCCTGTAATCCCAGCTACTCGGGAGGCTGAGGCAGGGGAATTGCTTAAACCTGGGAGGCAGAGGTTGCAGTGAGATGAGATCATACCACTGTACTTTAGTCTGGGTGACTGAGCAAGACTCCAAAGAAAGGAGGGAAGAAAGGAAGGAAAGCAGGGAGAGAGGGAGAAAGGGAGGGAGGGAGAGAGAGAGAAAGGAAGGAAAAGAAAGGAAAGAAAAAAAAGGAAGAAAGGAGGGAAGGAAGCAAAAAGGAAGGAAGGAAGAACGGACAGAAAGACAAATCATCTCGGTGTTCTTTAAGTCCTAAGGTGATAAGATATTGAAAGGCATAAAGAACTCAATCTAATGTCCAATTTGTTAAAGGGGAATTTTAAGGTTTGTCCTTCCACTTGGTTTAATGTGGGGATTTCCCTGGGTTATCAAGCTGCTTAAACTGTGACATATAGGGCTTCCTGCATCATACTAGAACCAAAATTGACATCCTTTTCAATATACAAAGTACAATAAAGATCTGAGGATGTTCTCTGTGGAAAGAATATTGCTTTAGGAATTACTAGACCAGGAATAAAACTGTGGCTTTTCAGAGGCCAGATAAGGGATCACTGCAAGTCCAGAGCCATTCTCAGTTTTGGTGTCTCCAACTGTAAGATGATAGAATTTACCCAGAAAATCAGTAAAATCCCTTCCAAGGCTATAATTATAACACATCTGGGCCTAAGTCAAATACATTGATGTAAAAGTAAAAAAAAAAAAATTGTTGATTAATAAAGACCTACTGATGCCACTAAAATGTCAAATATATGTATTCAAAGATAACTTCAACATATTATCTTGACTGGGATCAAAGCGGGTAGTTAATAAGTACCAATGAGTTACTTTACTTAGACAACAACCAGCATTTACAATTATGAAGCGTTCCGGAGAAAAATCTAAAATGCAGCCTGTAATTTCTACTTATCTAACAATTCTCCGAAAAGGAAGATGAAGTCACTGTATATCAAATCTTGAGTATATTTTTTTTTCCTGAAAAACAAAACAACTCAAATTTATTTTTGTGGGGTTTTATTTAAATAATGTCAAGTACCTATGAATAAAACAGCATGTTATTCACCAACCAGAGAGGCTGAAGCCAGCTATGTGTACTTCCTTTGAAAAGTAAAACGCTTTGGGAGGCCAAAGCAGGTGGATCTCCTGAGGTCAGCAGCTTGAGAACAGCCTGGCCAACATGGTGAAACCCCTTCTCTACTAAAAATACAAAAATTAGCTGGGCATGGTGGTAGGCACCTGTAATCCCAGCTACTCAGGAGGCTGAGGCAGGAGAATTGGTTGAACCTTGGAGGTGGAGGTTGCAGTGAGCTAAGATTGCAACACTGCACTTCAGCCTGGGTGACAAGAGCAAAACTCTGTCTCAAACGGTAGGGAGAAATGAAGGAAAGAAAGAAAGAAAGAGAAAGAGAGAAAGAAAGGAAAAAAGAAAGAGAAAGAAAAGAAAAGAAAAGAAAAGAAAGAGAGAAAGAAAGAGAGAGAAAGAAAGAAAAAGAAAGAAAGAAAGAAAGAAAGAAAGAAAGAAAGGAAGGAAGGAAGGAAGGAAGGAAGGAAGGAAGGAAGGAAGGAAGGAGGGAGGGAGGGAGGGAAAGGGAAGGAAAGGAAAAAGGAGGGAAGGAAAGGAAGAAGGAAGGAAGGAAAAGAAGGAAGGAAGAAAAGAAAGAAGGAAGAAAGGAAGGAAGGGAAAGAGAAGGAAAGAAAGAAGGCAGGCAGGCAAAATGTTGAAATTAGATGTGGTTTCATGCCTGTGGCCACAGTGTCTAAGACTAGTAATATGGGGACTGACATTCTTCCCTCTTGATTCCTCTTTCTGCTTTTTCTCTAGAACTGGCATGATTTCATTAGTAGTGACAAAATGGTACTGATGATTAAAAAAATAATTCTATCCAGATTGTGGGAGCAGCGTGTGGCAGTCCTCCTGCTGAAGCAAATGTGTAGAATGTCACTGACTTCAGCAGGTGGGCATCAGTAGGGAGAGGCCAGCTGCATACTAAGTGCCCCTTTCAGGAAATCCAAGGCTTGGGGGTTATTCAATTGTGCAGGTAGCAGTGCAGGATACAGGGGATGGCAAACCCAAGTCAACAGAGTCACAGGTTCTTCATTGCTACATTCAATGACTTTATAAAATATATATGCAACCATTGTCATTATTTTAAAATGGCACACCACTTAAAAAGGAGAAATTAAGAAGATAAAAGGCAAGTACATTGAAATATGCTTTCGATTAAAAAAAAAATCCCATGAAGTGTATACACTAGGCAAAGTCCATCAATCACGATCAGTGGCATGTTTAAACAGTTCCCTTGGTGTCCACTCTTGGTTAGACACTGCACAGCTTCATGTTCCAGCTAATTTTTCAGTGTCCTTTTCCATCTGCCAGCTTGTTCACCTCTAGAGATTTTAGATTGACAGACAGAAATTAGCAGTCACTCCCCTGGCAGACTAGCATACATTCCGATTAGCATGTTGGCTGTTAACACAGTTAACTCACCCATTATAAATGACCCCAACATACCTGAGAAGAGGAGCTCATCTGTCAGTGCCACTGAACTTACTTAAATGGAGAGTTTGATGCATTGTCACCGGCTTTGTCAGTTCCTTTGTGAAGGCATTAACTTTCATTTGTAGCCAAGCCAATTTGGCTTTTCACTTGACTATTTATTGTCTGCAATCAAAATGATAAAATACAAATGCAACGTACTGGGTGGAAAATTGTTTCTAAGGAGGCTCATCTCTTTCTTTATGATTTTCTCTTCTACAGGTTTTTCTGTAGGTAGCCCATAAATTAGTTTCTTATAATAGTAGTATTTATGTCATGACCAGGGGTAAAAGTTTGAGTCTGGCACTAGTCAGTAATTCGATTGAGATTATAGAAAGCAATTTTTTCCTCACTGATCATAAATGTAGCACTGTCCATTCAGTCATATGCAGTCATTGAGGTGTATGTATGAGGTGATTATGAATGTTGAGGCTTGCCCCAGATATTTTACAGAAGAAAATGTCCTTTCCTTCTATACTCACACAAAACATAAACTAACTGAGCTACTCATAAACATTCCAAGAGATAATCCATAAGAATCTAGCCATTTTCCCATTTATTTCTTCCTCTGGAAAAATTTTTTTTAAATCCGCATCTAGAGCAGTGTTTCACAAAATATTCAGTTTGAAGACACTGGACTTCAGGACAGAAAATTAGTCATTGAGGAAAGAGGTCACTAAAGCAGCCGAAAACAATAAAAAGTGGCAGTTACTATCAGAATAAACTAGATTATTTGGAGGGTGCATTGGGACATAGGGGTAAAGAAATTTAAAGAAAAAAATGTGATAAAGTGTGTTTACTTCTTTTTAAAATTTTGTTTTAAGTTTCATGATACATGTGCAGGATGTGCAGGTTTGTTACCTAGGCAAACGTGTGCCATGATGGCTTGCTGAACCTATCAACCCATCACCTAGGTATTAATCCCTGCATGAATTAGCTGTTTATCCTGATGCTCTCCCTCCCTCTGCACCTCCGACAGGCCCCAGTGTGTGTTGTTCTTCTCCTTGGATCCATGTGTTCTCATTGTTCAGCCCCCACTTATGAGTGAGAACATGTGATATTTGTGAAAACTGATGGATCTGGCCCCAACTGTCTCATACTGTCTCATACATTTGCCAAAGGTACTACTGGATTGATGGGTCAAGGATTTGCTGTGTATGCCAGTGTTCAGAGATAGCAGACCAAAGAAAACATCTGTGGTATCATCACTGTCCCTGCCCTCAAATAATTTAATGAGTGGGCTATAACTTACATGTGTGGAACAATTAACAACCAAGATACACAATAAGTACATTTTTAATACATAAAGATCTAGTACATAATAAAGTGTTAGAGATAAGTGGCACATGGCAAAATCCCAATGGTGCAAAATAACTTGGAAAAAGAAAGAGATTGGTAAAGGATGTCATGGAAAATATGCAATGAAAATAGAACATGGAAAAGTGAGCAAACCAGGCAAAAACAGAGAAGAGGGAAGACATTCAAAAACAGAGATGGAGGTAGAGGTGAAGCATAGGTATCTGTCTAACAGGGAGATTCACATTGCATGAAGATGAAGATGTTTTACAAAAATGTCTTCCTTACAGGGAGGTGAAGTAAAAGAATTCCTTGCTTACAAGGCTTAATTATTCTTTGCAGTTTTAAGGAGATGTTCAAATGTGGCAAAACCAAAACAGTCCAACAAAAAGCTTATGCTGAGGTGATTAAGAAAGAATACCAAAAACTTGGGCCAATAAGGTAAGACATACACATACATGCATGCACACCCACACACACACACACACGGGGTGGGGAGAGAGAGAGAGAGAGAGAGAGAGAGAGAGAGAGAGAGAGAGAGAAATGCTGCTTATACTGCACATAGCTATTGAAAAGCAAATAAATACATAGTAGCTTGCAAGATATTTATAATACTTGATTAGGGCCCCAAATTTGCTAAGCTATGTAGATTATAGATTATAACCCAACATGATAAAACACATACTCTTGTCTAACTAAAATTTGCCAGGTAAAATGAAAAGAAGCTGCGAGATCCCACAAAGGCGTAAGGGTTTTTTCAAACTGCACTGATGCTCTCGAATTATTGACACATCCAGTTCTTACAGTATTTAATGTTCTGCTGAGATCACTCCTGACAATAGCTCAAGGAGTTTCTACAAATGTCCTGACTAAGAAAATGAGAAATAATGCCACTGGAATTTTTCCACAGGTATCAAGAAGTTGTGACCTTGGTCCTCTTCATTGCAATGGCTCTGCTATGGTTTAGCAGAGATCCTGGATTTGTTTCTGGTTGGTCTGCACTTTTTTCAGAGTAAGCTTTGCATGTTATGTTTGTCAGCTCTTCCTGTTTTATACTCTGCTTCTCTCCTATGTGGTTCTTGTAATTCTGAAAGATAGGATGAGATACTTTTCTTTCTCTCGAAAAGATATTTTAAATTCTAATCTTTTCAGAAAAAAATTATAAGGAATTAAATCTAGGATAAGAGCACAGAAAGAATAACCATACTACTCTGTTACTAAAAGGCAAAGTCCATTAGATAAAATTATTCCCATCCCTGCAAATTAGAAATACAATAGGCAGAGGCTGGGCATGGTGGCTCACACCTATAATCCCAGCACTTTGGGAGGCCAAGGTGGGCAGATCACAAGGTCAAGAGATCAAGACCATCCTGGTCAACATGGTGAAACCCCCATCTCTACTAAAAATATAAATATTAGCTGAGCATGCTGGTACATGCCTGCAGTCTCAGCTACTTGGGAGGCTGAAGCAGGAGAATCATTTGAACCTGGGATGCAGATGTTGCAGTAAGCCAAGATGGCCTCACTGCACTCCAGGCCTGGAGATGGAGTGAGACTCCATCTCGAAAAAGAAAAAGAAGAAAGAAAAAAAGGAACATACAGAAAAGCTGTGCTCTGTGGTGGTTGGGAGCATAGATTTCAGAGCCACATTGCTTGGGTTCCATTCCTGACTCATCCACTTACTTTAGGCAAGTCACTTAATTCTCAGTGTCTTCATCTATAAAATGGAGACAATGATAGCATTTGGAATAGTGCTGGCCTTCTCCCTATAGGAAGTGTTATTATGTGAAGTAAATACCTTTCAATGCCTTTTAATAATCTGATGTAAATTCATATTATGTGATCTTTACCAACTTTGTTTTTTAATTCTATGGAGGACCATTTATTTGGTTCAATATCTTGTTTTTTTTCCTTGATTTATTTACATTTTTACACTAATTCACTAAAAGTTCAGGCCAGCCTCCATTTCACAGATGAGGAATTTCAGAAGAAATAATAAGACTGATTTTAAAAGCTGACGCTAGAAGCTGGGTCAGAGTTAATTTTATGTCTCAGTGTCTTATACACCAGCAGTCAATTGCTGAGTCGTGTGAAGTGAGGGGGAAGAGTATGGCATAATTTTCTAAATTAAGGATCATCCTACATGTCAATATAAATAATTTGGTTGTAAGATTTGTGTTCCCAATCTATCTTTCACTGAACTACTCTAATTTCTAAACTCAGCACATCTTACTTGGACTTCCTGTCTCACATCCCCCAGCAAAAATTCTTCATTTTTTCTTTTTTGGATTTTTGGGTAAAAAACCAAAATTGTTTAGGTCATATGGTTTTTGCCCACATAGAATAAAGAAATTCTTCCCCCCTGAATCAGAACCTTCTGGTTTATAGGCATTGCCAATGTTTATAAAGGGTGCAAAGTCTGAATCCAAATTCCTAATGACCATACAAGTCAAGCAATGCAATATGGTGGTATGTTTTAAAGGATCAGTTTCATTTTTATAAACTTTTCAATTCCCTTAGAAAGAAAACTTTCCACTTTGAGAGGTTTAGGCATTTAATTATTTAAAGCAAGTTATTATGTAATAGTTCATTAGTACTTTGTGGCTTTGTGGTAGGATCTAGGCCAACCTAAAAAATAATTATTCCCCTTTTTAAAATCCAATTTCTGTCATCTAGACAAGGAGAGTCTTTATCTAAACACCAGTGTGAAAGACTTAAATGAAATCAGACGATAGTTAATAAAGCCCAGGCAGAAATCCCAATAGGAAATTCAATATAATTGGCTTCTAATTTATGTTTCTTACTGGAGAAAATAGGAGATGCTTTGTTTGTAGCAGGAAAGCAGTGTGTATTGGTTATGAGCAGGCGCTCATGCCACCTAGAATTCTGAGACAAAACAATAGGAAAGGAACAAAGGTTTGAGAGAAGATGAAATTTTAAAATATAAATCTAATTGGCAAACCCAAAACAAATAAAATTTGTATAAGATTAACATCTTCTAATACTGAAATAACCTAACTGCATTCCTGATAAGTTATAATATGATAATAGTTTTTAAAGTCCTTTGAAAATAAATTATTTAGTATTTATGCCTTGATTTAATTTAATATACATATTTCATAGGATATGTTTGTTATGCAGAGTTTTAGGCATTAAGAATTTCTAAAGCTAGCATGATATATCAAGATTTATAGCTACCACCTAATGTTTTCATTCCATCTGTTTGTACCTGGACTGAATTCAATGTGTCTTTTCATATAAAACAAAATCTGGTTACATGATGCCTGGCACAATTTGCCAAAAATTCAACCAAAAATCATAACTGAAATAAGAGAAATAGGGAATAATAAAATTATAAATATCAGTCAAGTTTGTAGGATAAATTACAGTAAGGTAGATTTTTAACCAATCATGAAAGAAAATGTGTCTATACTTACAGAAAGTAGACTGCTTTAAAAATTGCTAGATTAAGATATTGCATTTCTTTGGCTTTTTAGATTTTTCCAGTAAATTGTGGAAGTAGAGAAGCTTCTGTAGTGTGTACACATTACTGAGTTACAAGATAGTAAAATAATCTTTAGCATGCACATATTTCTTCTCAGACTACAGAAATACACTAGTTAATACTGCTGACTTTTAAAACTAAATTCTAATTATTAACTATGTCAGTTACATGTGGTCTCCAGGTTCTTTAATGTTGAAGCTTCTGGGAACCTGTCTTATTTTAGAATGATCTGATGATTCTGAGACCCCATCTGTTCCCAAATCAGTCTTAATTTATATGGTGATCATTTGTGAACATTGGCTAAACCACTCCAATAATTAATATTCTTGATTGAGTTTCATGGGTGCAAAGCATTAAGTGGGTTGCTTTCATTTGTATGATATGGTTAGAGCCTAAAACCACAGAAGCAGGTGTTATATCTTAGAAAACAGATCAATTCCTTTTCACAATTTATAGAAGAATTTTAGGGGACCACAGAAACATCATGCCTTGCCACAATTTAATAGAAGGATATTATAAATCAATTATATGGGGCTTTGCCTGCTCTAGCAATGTTTCAACTTCAAATCTTGATCAATATAATTAAATTAAATAATTCAAAGAAGAAATTGTTTAACAAATCTATAAGCTTATCCAAAAGGGAAATTTGCCACCTTGGCCTAGTATGTCAGCATATGTATATGTGGTATTGAAAATAAGAAGAGATCTATGGAAACAACAGGAATACAGTCTGAGATTATTGTTTTTAGTGTTATGTCATTTGATTGGGAATCCATATATTTTTAAGGCAGATTGAGAATAAATAACTTACACCACCTGCTACTGATAATAACACACTACTGTTATTCGCAAAATTGGTTTTGGTGTTTTAGCAACCAATAAGTTCTTGATGCTATTTTTAATACATGTATTTTTCCCTTTTACAGGTACCCTGGTTTTGCTACAGATTCAACTGTTGCTTTACTTATAGGACTGCTATTCTTTCTTATCCCAGCTAAGAGAGTGACTAAAACTACATCTACAGGAGAAATTGGTTGAGTATCATTTAAAATTCTGCATAAATTTAACAGCAGAGCAAAAATTGTAAAATTCCATTGGTTTCACTTGGCACCTAGAGCAAAAAGAAAGCCTATGCTGGCACAATCTCTGGCTTAGTATGCCCTATTTGCAAACTGCAATGCTGTCTTCAAGCCAGCACGTCTTTCACCTGTGAGAAGGACCATCTTACTTTGCCGAAGTGGGAAGTAGATTTCCTTTTGTATCATGGTTAGGGCTCTGCCACAAGCGATACTATTTGACCCATGGTAAACCCACTTCAAAATTAATCTTACTGTTGGAAAACATAGCAAAAAGAACTTGGAAGGCATTGCTTCATTTTGATACATTGGTAATAAATGCAGAAGATCTACAAAGGTGATGAATTTCAAAGGAAAGAGTATTTACATTCTCAAAGTAGTCCTGGAGCAAAAGTTAAATCAACCTCACATAGCCATAACCTAGGATCACAATTGCAATGAAAGGGCCAAGTGTGGTGGCTCATGCCTGCAATCACAGCACTTTGGGAGACTGAGGCAGGAGGATCACTTGAGGCCAGTAGTTTGAAACAAACCTAGGCAGCATGGTGAGACCCCAGCTCTACCAAAAAATTAAAAAGTTAGCCAGGTGTGGTGGCACACACCTGTAATCCTAGCTACTCTGGAGGCTAATGCAGGAGGATCACTTGAGCTCAGGAGTTGGAGGCAGCAGTGAGCTATGATTGTGCAACTGCCCTGGGCAACAGAGCGAGACTTGGTCTCTAAAAATAAAAATGAAAGGTGTTCTGTGACAGCATTTATTGTATTTACAACACATGGACAAAGAACAGTGCACCTTTGCCTGAGCATGCCACCCTCTCAACACACACACACACTTTTTAAACACAGGATTCATCCATGTCTTTGCTTTATAATACAGCATGCTTTGAGTAATCAGACTCCCATCTTGTCAATGTGGGGCAAATAATTTTTAATTGTCTGGAAATAAAATTGACTTGTGGTTTTGTTTGTTCTTATGGGGATAAAACTGAGATTCATGTAGTTGTGTTGGCCCACCTGACTCTTGAGTCAGAATCCATAAATGACTAATGTATCAGATTTCCAGGACATATGTGACCAGAACAGCATAGAAATAAATGTCTTTTGTTTTTCACTTGAGAGTAGAATATCTCAATGTGTGTTAAGGAGTTGATGAAGTAAGGAGCACTGATTCCTAGAGACCATGAGGACTCTGATCATTGCAGTCAAAGCCTTAAGGTCTGGCAGTGGCAGGTACTGAAGAATCCATGTTTGGCTTAGCTTCCCTGGTTTCCACATCTAAACCCCCTCCCTTAGAAAGAGATGTTCCTACCCACCTTTCTCTCTTCCCTCCCTCTTCAAAACCAGTTCTCTCTGCTAAACTAATTCATACAAGGCTTAAAAATGACAAATAATACATAATATGTTAAATTTTAAATAAGAAATACATTTTAGAGATGTTTACACTTTAACAAGATATATGACCTTAATCAAAGTGAGAAACTTGATGACATAATTTCAGTCTTCAATGAGGAAGGATTTGGTTTGGATTTGGGGGAAAGTGATGGGAAAGAAACTTACCAGTTAACTTAAAATCTTACTATCTAGAAGGCTGCCTGTTATACACATGTTAATGGGCAGAATATGTCCTCAAATGAACTTACTTATCAACAAAGCAATAGAGAAATCAGAAGGCAAATATAAAGAGAAATCTTTATGATAATCATAAGCACTGTAAGGACCTCACAAATAATACTTTATGTAATCCGAATCTTGAATTACTTTTAAACCAAAATCTTGGTGAATCTATCATGATGCTTCTTATGACTTAAAAACTAATAAAAATGTTCAAATAAATATTAATGGATAATAATTAAAATGCTACAAGATGCTCTTGGAACCAATGAAATACTATCAACATTTTGCATAGCAAAGATTGTTATAGTCTAATGCACTGTGCTATTCACAGTTGGCTAAGATGTTAGTGGAATGAATGAATGAGTACCATAAGTAACAATGTTATAATTTATTGAAATATTTTCTATGATATTACCCAAAGGATTTTTCTAAGTTATGGAGCTTTTTTTTAATATATATAGTATAATGTTCCACCTCATCCAGGTGGAAATCACTCAAACTCCAGATTAAGTCCCATCTTCAAAAACAATATAGGAATATCACAAACTTCCTGTAAAATGGCTATTTAGGATGCTGAAGCAAATGTCATATTGTAATACTTTAAGCAATGTGTAACTCTAGGGTTTTTGTCTTGCAGTTGCCTTTGATTACTCTCCACTGATTACTTGGAAAGAATTCCAGTCATTCATGCCCTGGGATATAGCCATTCTTTTTGGTGGAGGGTTTGCCCTGGCAGATGGTTGTGAGGTAAGATATTTAATGATTAGACTGTTCAAAAGAAGAGCACAGAGACATTCAATCTTTAGATATATTCCATTTCACTCTGTCATTTTAATGTTGCAAATTTTGCTAGCTATGTAATGAATATACCACACAAATGAGGTGAGTTCAGAGTTCAAGAAATGTTACAAGCTGCAAGCATGAAACATAGCTTTTATGGTTTTCCAGAATGTTAAAAGAAATAATACAAAAAAAATTAAAATTTTTAATTCATGAAATTGTATTAGAAGACTAGTAAGGAAAAATATATATGAAAATATGTAAAGTGTCTCCTAGTGAAATAAACGTTTTGTTTGCTTATGGCTTCACCTCATTTCATGATGAATGTGAATAGCCCTTGGACTTCAGTATATCATGATGCTATTGCTGTCAAGAAAAGAGAATGAGAAATAATACTAGCATTAAAGATACTTAGTAAATGTTTATTGAAAAAGTCTGGAGAAAATTTCACATAACCATTTATAACATTATGTTATGTCTAATCTTAGAAAAAAATATGAACATCATGAGATGTTGGTTGACAACTTCTTTGCTCTATCTATCCAGCTGATAGAAAGCAGCAGTTTGGTGAGGCCCTCATCTCTTGTAATTGCCCTGGCCTTTGTAGAGTTATTGAAAATTGTCTTCCCCCAGAATTCTATGAAAATTAATTACTCCTATATTAATTTAAAAACACTTATTTCTGGTTTTCATAGACTTATTTGAAATATTCAAAGCTTATGGCTGTTCTATTTCCTTCCTCGGTCATCAAATTAACAGAATGTTGAGAGAGGTGTCATGTTCAGCCCTTTGGCTTCCAAGAGGTTAAATTTCTATACTACTCAAGACAAATTACTGTCTCGTCTCTTCTTGATAACTTGTAGGAAGATAGTCCTTTGCTTCTAACTTTACTGGCAATTTTTCTACACAAAATTATGTCTCTGGATTGGACCCTGGACACTCAATGTGATTTTGAAAACATAAGCCAGATCCTAGCATACAAAGTCTGAGGAAATGAAAAGGTGTGGACTCAGTCTGATGCACAAGGTTCTCTCAGTAGAAGAATTAGGGAACCTATACAGTGAGGTCTAGTTTGCTATTAAAAATCTCAATACACAGAACCAAATGTCTACAGGATACCCAGAATAACTCTACCTCTTAGTGGCCAGATTGAAGCCATGAGCTACAAGAGTATGGCTAAGAACAAATATGCCCCTAAAAACTGGATTGTAAAAAATTTGGAGACAATTAACTTTTAAAACTTTTCTTCCTGGTAAATGTCCAGAACCAGATAACCTTTCTAGTTAGAACAGAACAATGAGACAGCAACAACTATGGAATTCACCTGATTGCAATTATCTTTCTCTTAAATGCTCCTCAGTTTTGTTTTAACATGATTTATCTCTCATGAGCAGATAGACACTCTCAAATTCTTATCAGTGAATAACACTTCTTCCATCTTCATACATTCCTAAAATTTTTCTCCTAGGTTAAACATGCAGGATTTCTTATTTCAGATCTCTGCTAAAATTGCAATAATAACAAAAACATGCCAACCCATAGAGACAGACTATATGACAGGGACAAGAAGAGGCAAGACATGTTTATCACATTAGAAGATGGAAAGAGGATATTTGAGAGGCACTGACTTTGTACAAGTAAAAACGTAGTGAAAATGAAACATATAGGCTGGCAAAAGGAAGAGTCAACAAGAAACAAGCTGGTTATCCATAGCATCCTGGCATACCTCAGGAATCAGAGGCAGCAGATAACTCTGAAAGCTAGAGAGTAAAAGCCAGAGCTGAAATATGGAGGATGGTTTGAAAAGTGTATAAGGATCTACGGGCCTCTGAGATACTTTTCCCAGTCCTGCTGCTGTTTTCTATCCTCCCTGATAGAAAATTGAGATTTACTTTGTCAAAAAATTGAGCCAATGAGACACTGACTCACAAAGAGATATGAACATTACAACATCAATCCAAAATGTTCTACAGTCAACTAATAGGTATTTCAGAAAGAGAGAAAAAAATAGGAAGAAGATTTCCACAAAATAACCCAAGAAATTTGTTAGAACTAGAGACTTTGAGATTCTTGACTGGGAGAGTTACTGAGTACCCAAAACCAAAGCACTTTATGTAGAATTTTGGAACCATGGGATGAAGACACAATTTCAATGACGTACAGGTAGGGGAAACAATATATAGTATAATCATTTTCTCATATAATTAGACATAGATAAAACCTATTCTTAAATAATATGCTAGTATTAATTTGTGTCAATGTGACTAAAATGGTGGATAATCTTTTTCTACCTAAAAGTCATAAGCAAAAACAAGCAAATAAATAAAAATACAAGCCAAAACCACACATGATATTTGCTACTCACATCTGGGAATGTCTGTTCCAGCTTTTGATCTGAGGGTATCCGGCTTGTAATTAGAGTATTTTTCATGCCACTTGTAGTTATCATAAAGAATCATATATACAATAGCCACTGAAATTTCACAAAAGGAGGATTTTCCCTTCTATGTTGGGGAGAAACACAGAACAACACACTTGCTAACTTGCAGGTTTTTCTGCATTATGTATAATGAATCAAAGAGCAGAATGTGATCAGGCTTCTAAAGAATCCAACTGAAACCACAGGAAATGGAGTAATGGCTTAAAAGTGTGGAGTTATAATTATTTTGAACCTAGAATCCTACAAATGCAAAACAACAAGAACAGTGGGAAAAGAAAATAAAAAGGTTTTCAGGCATGCAAAGACTCTTATACCAATTCTCAGGAACTTATAGAAGACAGTGCTCCCCCAATGCAAAAGAGTAAATAAAAGAATGATTCCCACAAAGTGGGGAGGAGAAGGAACATCATACTATGATAGCAAAGAGAGGTCCTGGAACAACAACAGTTGAGTACACTTAAACGGAAACTAAGCCACATGGAGCAGGAGGAGGAAATATTCCAGAATAGATACTGCTATGAGGGAATATGAGAAGACATCAATGGCCTGATATGTTCATCTGTTTGTGGGGAGTTTTTCAGCTTTACTGGAGAATGTGATGAATTAGTAATAGGTACTTAGAAAACTAAAAGAATGAGACAATTATTTCTTGTGGGGAAGGGAGGGGAAATGTACTGATAGTATGCTAAGTGGTTTAGCTATGAACAATATTTATTTAATCATAGTGGTAAACATTAAGTATTGACTTAACCAAAAATGTTAATATGAGTATGCGGGAATGAAGAAACAAGAAATGTATGTACGGTGGATGATGTAAGAGAACTGAATTCTCACGTAACATTTTAGAAAGTCAGTAAATAATGTCTAAATTTTTAAATTAAGCAAAAAATCATAGAATATTATTTTAAAAGGTAACTATAAATGCCTAAACACAGCTAGCTATAAGTGGCTAATAAAGGTTGCAGTTGTTGCCTCTGCAGAATATAACTTAGAGAGAGACAAATCAGAAGGGCTACTCTTTTCTTAAAGGCCCTAATAGTACATGATCTATTAAAATATCCACATATATAAATTAGATATCGTTAAAATATAATTGAAAAAAGTAGGAATACATTTCCAACTTCCTAAACCATGTTGATAGTGTTAAAGGAAGACTAATCAATAGCTCCTCCCTACCAAAGCCACCCAGACCTACCAAACCACAGAAAAATGAGAGATTAAAATTGTATTTTAGAAAGTGAGTTTTCAAAGGATATAATGTTTTTTACGGATTTTACTGTCTCTGATTACAAAGAATTATTCATGAGTAACAAATTTTACCAATTTGCTTTTTAGGAATCTGGATTATCTAAGTGGATAGGAAATAAACTATCTCCTCTGGGTTCATTACCAGTATGGCTAATAATTCTGATATCTTCTTTGATGGTTACATCTTTAACTGAGGTAGCTAGCAATGCAGCTACCATTACGCTCCTTCTCCCAATATTATCTCCATTGGTGAGTATCTATTTACCCCATTTCTTAGTCTTTATTAAGAGCAGTGTTCTGCTGTGGAATGCTGGTCCTCATGTTGTGGTATGGAATATTTTTTGGTCTAAATGGGCCTCCTGTAAGTAACTTATAGGGTGGTCTTTATTTGTATGAATGCTTTTAGGGGACCTTCACTCTAGATAACTGTTTTTAAGTTTTCATGTCCAAGCAGCATGATCTTAAGTGAACAACTTACTTTTTCTCAGTCCAGTTTTTTCCTTTATAAATAAGAGAGAGAGTCAGACTAGATCCATTTTAGATATAAGACTTAGAATTTAGTATTTGCTGGTAACTTTAGTATTTAGATCTTTAACCGCTGACACTTCTGCCTCCTGAACATTGTTCCTAAATTTCTAAGAAGTGTTTCATATAAGTGATTTGCAAATTAATGAAAAACTAGGCTCATACTTCAGGCTTCAGGCTTAAATATCTTAGACACAGTTTTCTACTGCCGACGGAAGAATTTTTAAAAAGTAAGTGGGTTTACTAAGAGAGAGAGGGTAAGAATGCCTTTTCTTCTTTTCTCTGTCTACGTAGCAATTACAAGAAACAGTTAGCTTTAAGTAAAATGTTTTTCTTATTATGATGGATGGGTTTGGTGAAAGGAAAGCACTTTCAATTAAGAAGGACTGTCTTTCTGAAATTGTGCTGCTACAAGTTCAAGGGGCATATGTTGGTGTTCTTAAGCTACTGATTGAAAGTAGAAAAAAATGCAGGTTGTGTATATTGGTACAATATCATTTTGTGGTTTTTTTCCTTTTTTAAAAAATTTCTCAACATAGAAGAGTTAGAAAATTATGTGTTGATTTAAGAACAATAGTAACTCTTCCTAAGTGATGATCCCTAAGCAAATCTTAAATTGTCTGTATCACAGAGACAGTAGTTAGCAGTGTAAGGAGAAGCACTAGAGCTACAAGGACTTGAGAACCTGTGTGAGCTCTGTTGCTCACCAGCTGCATGCTTGGACAAGCGACTTTAGCGTCTCTGGGCCTCAGTTTCTTCATGTTATTTGAGGATATAGCAACCATCTCATGAGATCATTGTAAAAATTCAATATGTATAAATATATGACATGTATTATATATAAACTATATTATATGTAAATATATGAATATGTACATATACAAAAACATTTAGCACAGCACCTAGCGATAGATAAGTAATAAATGGTTGCTGTTTTTATTTAGTTTCTGGAATAAATAATATTTTATTTTCTAAATGAGCTTGACTGTAATGTTTAGGGGGACATCAATAATTGTATAAACAACAAGAGGATGAGACATTTTCTTAATACTATTCTTCAATTTATAACTGTGTTACTGCATATAATTTTATGTCATTAGGTTCCAACCTGCTTCTGGGGAGGTTTATTATAACACATTTGTTCATTCGTTTTATTTGATGTCTACCCTCAAAATTTTACTTACTCTTTTTTTATTTGTTACAATAGGCTGAAGCCATTCATGTGAACCCTCTTTTTATTCTGATACCTTCTACTCTGTGTACTTCATTTGCATTCCTCCTACCAGTAGCAAATCCACCCAATGCCATTGTCTTTTCATATGGTCATCTGAAAGTCATTGACATGGTGAGTTAGCTGAAAAAACACTGTCAGATCCAATACACATCTTGATGTGTGCTATGTCTTGACATATCTTCCCTTTTATACACCAATCAGCCACCAGAAAAAGCATGGCCTGAGTTCTGTTTATGAAGGTGTGTGCATGACTAATCATAGAATTGTTGTTAAAAGTGATAATCAGACCATTATAAGTTATGGTCACAAACAGAGATATGTTGAATGCATCAGTAATGCTTTGGAAGAAGGAAAAGAGCACTGAACATGCCCCACACAACAGCTTACACTTACAGGTCAACACTAGGATCCAAACCGATCTAGGCAAAAGGAAGAAATCGGGTTAAAGAAATCCACGCATCAAAACAACACTGTTGTTTGCTATCACAAACATTTATGCAACCAACATTTCCTCTGAATGAGACACTGGGTCAGTGCCTGACTGATGAAAAAGTATCTTTCTTGTTTTGGTTTCAATACCAGGACCTAACATGAAAACACAAGCAAACAATAATGAAGAATTTAACTGATGTACATTTTTGCCAAATACAAAAGTACTGGTAGTTAAAAACTGGCTTGAGAATATTCTGGTAGTTTCCAAATCTTCACACCAATTTCCAAACCAATCCAAATGATAATGTAGCCAAAGTAAATTCAGTGAGCTTCCTATGCAAATGCAGTCAAGGTAAGTCCCAGCTCCCTTTCTCTCACACAGACTGCTGTTCCTAAGTCCTTACAACATAAACATTCCAGAAATGCCTCTACACAGAAATGACATAATATTCATTTCATGATATAAGCAATGCCTGATATATGTGTATTGAAAAGGGTAAAAACAGGATTCTGGGATAAATGAGTAGCTGGCTTGCATGGACAGGGAATAGGGCCACTTTTATCATTCTTTCCAGGTATTCCCCTTTTGCTTCGGGGCTCCATGTTTTAATGCAGAGAATGCAGGAGTAAGCAAACTTTCTCCGTAAAAGCCCAGATGGTATTTGAGGCTCTGTGGGGCCCTGTGTTCTCTGTCACAACTACTCAACTCTGCCATTGTATTATGAAAGCAAAGAAAATATGTAAGCAAATAATCATAGTTGTGGTCCAATAAAGCTTTACTTACCAAAACAAATCAAGGGCAGTAGTTTGCCAATTTTTATTTTAATAGATAGAAAGCAACTTTGAGATTGTTTAATGGACTGTAAAATAATGATATAAGAGGTAAAACTAGGAGAACTCTAAGAAAGATAATCAACATGGTGAAAATATTGAAGGTTAAATTAATAATTATGTTGAGTGAATATAAAAGACATGGTTGTCATATGGTGTCCTGAATCTTATTAATTGAAATATAGAGCCACAAAACTGAAATTCCGATTTAACATGAAATGGCAGATTTCTAAGTGGATTTTTCTCTAGTCGGAATTACTTAGGTATATTCCTAAGAGGAACATCTCTGGGACTCTCCAACTCAATGGCGTTTAGTTGGGGACAGATTTTCTCTTGCTATGAATGGAGAAGGAATACTATGCAGCCATAAAAAATGATGAGTTTGTGTCCTTTGTAGGGACATGGATGAATCTGGAAACCATCGGTCTCAGCAAACTGACACAAGAACAGAAAATCAAACACTGCATGTTCTCACTCATAGGCAGGTGCTGAACAATGAGAACACACGGACACGGGGCGGGAAGCATCACACACTGGGGTCTCTTGCAGGGAACTGGGGAGGGACAGTGAGGGGTGGGGAGGTTGGGGAGGGATAACATGGGGAGAAATGCCAGATATAGGTGACAGGGGGATGGAGACAGCAAACCACATTGCCATGTATGTACCTATGCAATAATCCTTCATGATCTGCACATGTACCCCAGAACCTAAAGTACAATTAAAAAAAAATTTTTTTTAAAAGAACTCCTAAATTTAAGAAATGACAATTTATACTAATCATTTAGGACGCATATAAATCTGGCATACACTTGCTACAACAGGATTCTATTTCTCGTGTAGGCTTTCTTTTGGGACACTGACATTTATGCTCTTTCCTGTTCAAGGTTAAAGCTGGACTTGGTGTGAATATTGTTGGCGTTGCTGTGGTTATGCTTGGCATATCTACATGGATTGTACCCATGTTTGACCTCTACACTTACCCTTCGTGGGCTCCTGCTATGGGTAATGAGACCATGCCATAATAAGCACAAAAGTTCTGACTATCTCATGGTAACTTCTGGAAGGCATTAATAATTGACTGTAAAATGTGGCTCTAAATAACTAATGACACACATTTAAATCAGTTATGGCATAGCTGCTGCAATTACTGTGAATACCTGAAACCTGCTGTTATAACTCAGAGTCCATATTTGTTACTGCAGTGCAAATAAAGGGCATCTATGTGCCTTCATCAAGAAGCCCATGTTTGAGATTTTGCTCATGAACCATCTGCAACTTGCTTCATCATAAGAATAATTTATAACTTGACCTTCAAGGAGATTAGACCATTTGTTTCATCTTGCAGTTGGAGTTCAATGTAACATTTTAAATGCAATTTATTATTTCAGAAACTTCCCATGAAACTAAAAATAGAAAATAAGATATACAAGTTAATTTGGTACTTGGATAAATCATTTCCACAGTGTTGTTCAAGAGAATTTGCCGAGAAACCAAAGCCATGATCATTTGGTGATGCAGAGAAAAGTTTAAATGAAATATGCATTTCCTCATTTAAAAAATCCAACTGGATTATTCTTAATACATACATATAATATGAAAATTGAGATTGAAGCAGTAATTCCAAAATTATAGCCGAATATACTATATAACAGAAAACTTATAGATAAGGATTTATTTCTACTGAACTCTATAGTTACAGTAAAATAATTCATACTTTTATGATCTTAGCACTGAGAAATTCATTTTGTAAAGCTATGGATAAGGCTTGCTATGATTTGTACTATTAGTACACTATAGTTAGAAAGGAAAGCTAAACACTATAAAACTACTAACACATTTTTGCATCTGAGTAACAACTTTTCTTAAGTGTTTATCTTAGTCCAGAAATGCATAATGTCGTATGTTAAAAATAAAGGGATGTAGAAATCTAAATGAATTATCACAGTGTATACAGACATAGAAAAATCACATAACTCTATTATGTCAACACTGCAATGAAATTTCAGAAGAAAAAAAGAATAAGAATGAAAACTGCTGACATATTACAAAAGAGAAAAATAAATCATTTAAGAGCAAACCAAAAAGAAAAAACCTAAACATTTAAACAAAAGTAGGGTAAGAATGGTCTTCTAGAAGTCAGGATGTGAAAAAGAGCAAGTTTCCAATTACCCTGATGTGACCATTACACATTGTATAGAGGCATCAAAATATCACATACACCCCCAAAATATGTACAAATATTATATATCAACAAACAAGTTTTTTAAGGAGTAAGTTCTATTGGCATTCCAAAATTAGGCTAAAGGAAAAATGAACAAAAACGAAGTAATGTGTACAGTTAGCAAAAGAGGCAGATGTTATATCACAGCAATTCTCATGCTAAAAATACAATGAAAGACAACGCAAAAAATAAATCTTTGTTATCTTTAATCTTCATTGACACTTTTCTAGATGTTACTGACCTTGTCATTTTTAGTCAAATAAGATTATTTGCAGACTTATTTTTGAAACTAAATATAGCAAAGAGGGTTTAAAATAATATTTCTTTTTAACATATACATTATTAATTGTCCATGTTCATTATTTTTCTATGTTTATCAATGGGACAATGCAAAACATTAATCATTTTTTTCAAAGAAAAAAATTGTCCATGTAAAACTTAAATTATAATGTTGCTGCTTTGTATAAATCTTCTATGTTTATTCTATTCACTTGTTTCTTTCCCTATCACACTTTACACATGTATTTACAATCTATAGTATTTATTACATTTCTGCTTTTATCTAGTCATTCAATTTATCACTGCTGAATTACATCATATCATGGATGCATTTTAATTATGAAAAAATAAAATGACTTTTCAAATTATAATGAGTAAATTTTCGTCTCAAGAAAATAATGTAAACATTTCAGCTTGAATAATTTTAATGAATTACTTCCAACAGCTGCTAGCTGAGTATGTGAAAAATAATATTTAGTGAAAATTTGTTTAATTCAGTGATATAGTTCTCTTACTATATATATGTTTGATTGATATATCAAAAATGACTTAACTGACCCATTTCACATTTGTCCCATTTACATTAAAGTTCTCAAGTGCTTTTGGTTTGAGAGTTGCATACTGTCTTTGAAAGTTTCCAGAAGGCAATCCTAAACAGATGATCAAAACTCCTTTGTCTTCCCATTCTGTGGTAGATAGTGTTTTTGTCATTATCTTGATCATTACTTAGAAGTCTTTGTCACTTGGAATTTCAGCATCTTACTTAGAATTGGATCTTGTCTAGATAATAGCAGCAATTCTACTAAGTGCCTACATACTGTCTGTTTATGCAGGTACTTGAAAGGTTCCACTGGCACATGTATATCTTTCACTCACCTCAACTGCTGCTGTACATGTCAGTATTTCTAGAATTCACACTTCTTTTCTCTTATATGTATGCAATATTTTCATCATGGTGTCCAAAGCTTTCTTTTTTCAGCCTGGGAGGTACATAATTTTAGACAATAGTACCAATGAACATTATTAACAAAAATTGACAAACATTGATTGTATCTTGACATGTGTACCATGTATTATTAAGTGTCAAAGAGCATTATTAGATATATTATTATATCTCTATCATGGCTAAATATACGAGTCCTTGTGATGACATTTCTGTTCTAAAATTTTGGTTTCATTAATAAATTTTATTTTCGCTTATGTGGATTTTACCAAATTAAATGTTTTTAAAAATGTTTAATAGAGAAAGTATTGTTTTAGGAATGTAAGAGTAAAGCTGAACAAATTGTATCAGTTTTATTATTCTAGCATAATCTAAAAAATGAAATAGTTAAAATTATTACTCCAGGGCTGTATTAATCATGTTATTTCTAGATGAATCAAATTGTTCAGTAAAAACTTACTAGGTAAGTTTTGAGAATGCAAATACCAAAATCCCAGGTCCCTATTATAGAGGCAAGACCAGATTAATCCAGGAGTAAACAGTAAAAATAACATATAAGGGAGGCAGAAATTAAAAGGTTTCTCCAAATATGGGAATCTCTATTTGTCTAGAAAGAAAAAAAACAGAGTTTAAAAAAATATATAAAGAGAATTTTCTTACTGATAGTATAGTGATATAGATACAGGGTGAGATCTTTTTGAAGCTAAATAATAAAACATATTGGATAACATAATTGTGTCCACAAGAAAATAATGGAAGTCCTCAGAAGAGAAAGGTGAAGCACAAGCAAGAATCCAGAGATTTAAGCAAGAACTGAAGGTGGTAACTGCTGATTCCTCTAGATTTCTTAATAGGTTCATAATGAATGGGAAATGTAATAAACATTTAATCAGAATTCCAGGAATATATGATAAAAAGAATCAAGGAAGTATAACAAAAAATACAGGGGCAGAGAATTGTTTAATAAGAGAGTTTTTCCAAGATTGTAGATGAGAGGCTTTCAGTGTGCCTCAGTCACTTGGAAATAGCAAAATAGTAAATAAAGATAAACTCTGTGAGCTTTGATTTAAGAAGGAAAATGGGTAATTCACTGAAATAGCAAAGGATACCCAAGACCCTGGGTAGGAGAAAGTGGGCAAGTAGCCCCTGTGATGGCATTTGGCTGATAGAAATGAGTGAAACCCCATTATGTGAGAAGGACTGTCAGTCCTCTCTGGGACTCACCTTTTCACTAAGGATATGTACAACCCAGGCCAAGGGAGAGCACCCTGTTTCTCCCAGTTTCTGGAGCTAACTTGGAGAAAGGCTGAGAGCTGAAGAGAGGGAGAGACATCAGGAAAAGCAGCAGGCACTGTCCAAGACCCAAGACTGATAAAAGGATGTCATTTTAAATTCAGACTCATATACAGACAACTATCATTTAGAGACCTGGCACTGGCAGCCACTGTGGGCATTTTCATCTATGGCCAAAGACTGGAGAACTTGCCCCAGAGTAGGGGAAGGGCTCCCATGTCCAGAATTGAGTGGCGAGTACGGAGAGTGCCCCAACAGCAGGCACTGAAATTAGGCTGTCTCCCATTGTAGGACTGGAGCAGGAGGAGAGTTGCTGAAGACAAGGTTTCTCCTGCTCAGCGAGGCTTACAGGCAGACTTGGCTTTATGACCTGGAAATAGTCTCTGTATGCCATTGCTGGGTACCCAGTCTGTTCTCTTGGTCAGTTGGGGAACAGTGCTCCACCAGCTCTAAGGAGTGGAAAGAATGAGTACTCTCTTTTCTGAAGATCCACCCCTCAGTGCAGACTACCCTTAAGAAGGGGACAGAGTACAGCCACCAAAGCCCCCCTTGGGTGAAAGAAAACATGAGCACAGAACCAGCTGCTGAAGTGAGCACCACCAAAGCCCAGTAATGAACTTGGAGACGGGGGTCATTCCTTGCTCCTTGCCCCTGCATCCCAGTGCACTGCAGCAGTCGTGACAGCAGCTCCTCAAATTGGAGCTGGGAGGAGTGTGGGCTGAAAGAGGATGCTTCTTGGGTTTCTCCAATGACTCCATTCATACTTAAAATTAGAAAAACAATTAAATTAATATGGAACCAAAAAAAGCCTAAATAGCCAAGACATTCTTAAGCAAAAAGAATAAAGCTGGAGATATCACATTACCCAACTTCAAACTGTATTACAAGGCTACAGTAACAAAAACAGCATGGTACTGGCACAAAAACAGACATGTAGACCAATGTAACAGAATATAAATAACAGAGGACAGCTACAACCATCTGATCTCTGATGAAGTTGACAAAAACGAACAATGGGGAAAGCACTCCCCATTTAATAAATGGTTCTGGGATAACTGGCTAACCATATGCAGAAGATTGAAGCTAGACCTCTTCCTTATACCATATATAAAAATCTACTTAAGAGGGATTAAAGACCTAAATGCAATTCTCAAAACCATAAAAACCCTGGAAGACAACCTAGGCAATACCATTCTTGATATAGGACCTAGCAAAAAGGATGAAGATGCCAAAAGCAATTGCAACAAAAATAAGAATTGACAATTGGAACCTAATTCAACTAAAGACCTTCTGCATGGCAAAATAAACTACAGACTAAGCAGAAAACCCACAGAATGGGAGAAAATATTTGAAAACTTTGCATCTGACAATAATCTAATATCCAGCATCTAGAAGGAACTTAAATCAACAACAAAAAGTGAACAACCCCATTAAAAAGCGGGTGAGGAACATGAACAGACATTTCTCAAAAAAAGACATACACACAGCCAACAAGAATATAAAAAAGTACTTAACATCACTAATCATTAGAGAAATGTAAATCAAAACCACAATTAGGTACCATCCAACACCAGTCAGAATGGCTTTTATTAAAAAGGCAATAAATAACAGATTCTAGCAAGGTTGCAGAGAAAAGGGAACATTTATCTACTGCTTGTGGGAAAGTAAATGAGCTCAGCCATTGTGCAAAGCAGTTTGGCAATTTCTCAAATAACTCAAAGCAGAATTACCATTCAGCCCACCAATTCCATTATTGAGTATACACCCAAAGAAATATAAATCATTCTACTATAAAGACACAGGCACAGGTATGTTCATCCCAGCATCATGCACAATAGCAAAGACATAGAATCAACCTAAATGCTCATCAACAGTAGACTGGATAAAGAAAATGTGGTACATATACACCATGGAATACTATACAGCCATAAAAAAGAATGAGATCATGTTTCTTGCAGCAACATTGATGGAACTAGCGGCTATTATACTAAGTAAACTAATGCAGGAAGTGAAAACCAAATACTGCATGTTCTCACTTACGAGTAGAAGCTAAACACTGAGTACATATGGACACGAAGAGGTGAACAACAGACAGAGGGACCTTCTTGAGGTTAGAGGGAAACGGTGTGAGGATCAAAAATCTACCTATTAGGTGCTATGCTTATTAACTGAGTAGCAACATAATCTGCACACCAAATCCCTATGACATGCAATTTGCCTATATAAGAAACCTGTACATGTACCCCTGAACCTAAAATGAAAGTTAAAAAACTAAAAAATAAAATAAATTCCTTAAGAAAAATAGAGCGTGTCACAAAAGACCTAGAATATACATTAAACTTAATAGTGTTCAATATCTAGTTCAGTATCCAGTATCCAGTCTGAAATAAGATTGATAGTTATAATTAGGGTTAAGGTTAAAGCTTTCCCTTTTGATGAAGATTAAAACCAAAATGCCAGATAACACCACTTCTATTAAACATTTAACCTGAAATCCTAGATAATGGAGTAAAACAGAGAAATAGAAAGCAATAACAGACAATTCTTACTGAAATGGAAAAAAGAAACTATCATTTTTATATGACATAATTTTCTACATAATCAAAATTATTATTTTAATGATGTTTCTATATACAATATACAGAAATTAATTGCATTTTTATAAAATGGTAACAAACTATTGAAAAATGTAATTTTTAAAAAATGTACTATTGTGCCTAGGAATAAATTTAACAAAATGTGAACAAAAACTTTACGAAGGAAATTATAAAACTTTAGAAAGACACTAAAGAAGGCCTAAGTAAATGGAGAGACCTATAATTTCTAGACTTTAGCTCATGTACCTCCTCCACATTCTTTTGGGAAGGAAAAATAAAAATAGAGTATTGTATCTGTAGGCGTGGTTATTTGTCAGTTTGTCTTTTGGGTCTTCCAAAATAAAAAAGCTTTAGACAAGCTATATATCACGACTAAGAAATATATACTCTTCAGGAAAATACACAAGAGACTAACTCATAAGCACATCAATTACTTTTTTAAAAATTTCTCCAAGGCCTGTTCAATAACTGATTTATAAATGATGACTTATAATCCTTACATTAGAGTTCTTAAAAAGGAACTGAAGCTGATTGATATATACAACAACGCTATGATAAAAACACACTGCCAACTGCTTTCTAAAACAGATAGTTTTTGTTGCTTCCTCGATGATGGTTCTTTGTTCAAATACTTAGTCCACCAGCTTCTATGTATAGTACACAATATTTTTTAAATTGTTTCCCTAATTTTAGTCTGTACGCAGGAAGGCTTGAAGTTAATGTTTTTCTGGTGCATTCTTTTCTTCTTTTTTATTCTGACATTGCAGAAAGTAAAATAATAATAATAATAATAATAGCTCAAGAATAATTTTGAAGTCCTGTTTTCTTTTAAACTAGTTATAAAAAGATAATATTTTCTCCTCCAATCATACTTAAAGTTACCAAAGAAAATGGGAAATTTAATGAGGGTATAGTTGAAGTGAGCTTCTTTCTCAGTCTTAAGCAGCAATTGCTCCATAAACTGTGCTTCTTCATTCACTGTATTTGCCATTGGAATCATGATGTTGATGAATTGTATCAACATAGACCCACAAATTCTTCCTTCAGCCTGCCTCAGATAAAGCCAAACAGAGTTGCTGGCCTCGTCACTCAAAACATTGGCTTGAATTCAAAGATTTCCAAAGTGATGACCATGTAATAAAGACCTGGCTTACTTAATAGTCTGGGATTATGAGAAATCTTATGGCTTTATAAACCCACTTTGCTTTTGGGTGTTAACACGTTGTTCCAATTTCACATTTAGAACAGAAATTGCCCTTCTCTAATTGTTTTGGTAGTGCTGAACATTATGTAAATGAAACCAATATGGTTCCACTGAAAGAGTACAGGCCTTAGACTCCAAAGACATAAACTCAAGTTCCAGTTTCACCATTTATTGGCAGTGAAGCACTGAGTTAGTCAGATAACTGCCCCGAGCCTCATTTATCTAATTTGTGATATTTAATAATATGCTTATTTTGCCCTATCCAGTATTCTTCCCTATCTTTTCTCACCACAGAAAGGAAAAGTCATTGTTATGGGACCATACTCCCCTGCATTAAAACTTCAGTGTACATAGCAATTTTTTAGCCTTGAACTTCCATATATTGGTATAATTTTACTCTCAAGCTGCAATTTGGCTTGGTAGCAGAACACTTAATCTAATGAAATCAAAGTCAATTTAGTCATTTTAGTGTCTTAACAGTGATTTCAAACTGAACTTATTCAACTTTGTTTTGTTTTTTAGTTCCCTTCTCCTGTTCTTTTCTCCTTGCAATATTCATCTAAGTGTTGCAGGCCTTGAAGCTCTCGCTGAGTGAGATGCATCTGGTTTTTGTGATTAGCAATTGTCCATAGTGGATTCCATTGAGATATAAAATTCCACTGAGATTCTCTGAAATATATTATTCCCATGTTTTATCATTCACTTCTGATTCCAAGATCTACTCATACTTTTTGGCTCATGCAAGAATATCATCCTTGAGATCAACATATCTTCATCACTGCTACAAGCCCTATTGATCCACTACTTCAAGGGCCTGTGAGAC